TCATTGCTAAATTTAGACTAGTTTTTGATCATCATTCCTAAATTTAGCCTAATACTCGACCATCATATCTAAATTTGTCAGTAAGGAAAATAGTTTTTTAACCAAAATCACGTGTAACCCTTTTTTAAAAAAATTTATTGCATTTTTGAAATTCGAGCGCGTGGCGCAGCAATAGGAGGTCTTTAGACCAAGCCAACCATAGAAAAGGGGTCAAGCTATTGTTATTATTAGCATTAGAACACATAATAGGGGCATGGATAACAATAATTGGACCCATACGCACATGATATCAAAACTTTGCACCAAACCCAACCTGTTTCTCAAAATTTTATATCATACCCAAAAAAATTTACAAATTTTAACCCAAGCCCGGAATTATACCCATATCCTTTTTATTTAAAAAGATACCACAATAATAATAATTTTTAAGAATTACACTGTAAAACAAGAACATTATCAACTGTTTCTGGTTTAAATTTGATTAGGTTTCATTTGTTATTAAACCAGCTGCATGGAATTCCCTTTCACTGGGTGCATTGGGATAAATAATAAGAACATAATATTGATAGTTTTGGATAATGATCTTGATGAGTTTTCCACCATTCTAAAATGTTTAAGAATTCCTTTGTGCTTTTGAAGACAAATATTTGTCAATTTCATTTTCTTCAGTTCAGTTTCATCATTATCTGAATCATAAAACTGACTGAAATTTGTTAAATCAACATTAGATTTTCTTTTTCTTTTAATAGGTCTTATATCATTAAATATATATATATAATATCATTATTATTTTAAAAAAATTAAAAAAATAATATTGTTGTTGTTGGATTTCATTAAAGATGTGTATATATATTATATATTTTTGTTAAAGAAATCTATTTCAAAATTCACATGCATGAAATATAATAAAAATTTTTGGGTGGGGTATTTGGATACTATATAATTTAAATTTCATTTTTAATTGAAATAATTTTTCAGGTTGCACAAAAATTGGGTTATTCAAACCCATATATATTAATATTATAATTACAGCTGTCCTGAACCCATACCGCAATCCGGGTGGTTCGGATAAAATTGCGGGACCCGGATGGAATGCGCGGGCTTGATATTTATTATCAAATGCTGTCTCCATAATTATCACCAGATTTGAAAAGTTCTTGTAAAAACCAATTCTTGAAATCCCATTTAATCAAGGTACTTTTCTTTCGCATTAAATTCAGCCATAATATCAGTGATAAAGATTACTAGATGTTGAAATGGTTTAACTAATGCTTGAGTATATAATTTCACTTCTTAACGGAGGCCTATAAATAAAAGGTCACGCAATCATAGTATTATTATTTTTGATTTTATTAGTTATATTGTTACTCTGAAAGAATCCCCAAGTTTATTCGTCAAATTTTCAAAAATAGCATATATTATAATTGGAGTGTTTATAAATTATATTTTCAAATGCGATTCTAGCTTTACTGCATTTACTGCAATGTTTTTCATAATTATAAAAATATTTGTAGTGGTGGTGACAATCGTTTTATTTCTCCATATACAAAATCAAAATAAAAGAAAGTGAAAATATTAATATAATAATAATAATAATGCAATTAATTTTCCGTTTCATTTAAAATTCAATTGAATAACCAATTATATTTGTTGTGCGTGAAAATCAAATTTGAGTTGTTAATTAAATTTTGGGGGCGTTTGGATACAAAATTCTGGTTGGCTAATTCGAATTTCACGCGTGAATTTCAAATTCACAACATATTAATATTGTCAAACGTGTGCATTGTATTTTGTGAAACTGTTCATTCATTCATCAATAAAATCGCAAAAAAAAAAAAGAACTAACTGAAAAATCAATTTACAGTTTCATTGGAAGGTGAAAACGAAGATTAGGATTCTTTTGGTATTTGTATCGTCCAATCACATTATGTTGATAAACAATGTCGATTTTACACTTTTAATAATATAAATAAATGCGCGTTAATAACATTCTAAAGCACAAAGTAATTACATAATATTCATAACACGATAATAAATTCAATTAAATTCACTAACTAATTTTACTAAAGGATAACTATATTTTAAAAATCGATTTTCATTTTTATGATGATAGAAATTATTGTATGAATGCAATGTCAAATGCCTCTACATTAATTGGATAAGAGTTTAAAAAATATTATTCTTTTCAAAAATGGGAATTCATTCAATAGGTGATATTACAAATAAAATAAAATAATTTTTTAATGATATTATTATTATTATATATGTGGCATATTGGAACAAAGTGAAAACTTTTCCACTAAATTTCCACCTCAAGTGCACTATTGCTGTTGCACACCCTAATGGATTACCATCATATAAGTTATGGGAATTTTTTAACCCTAAACTTAATAACTCCAAGTTGTTAATAGTTAATAACCACTTATTAACTATCGCATTCTGGGTGAGAGTGATTAATCCAAAAGATTCTAATAATAATTAAAGTAAATAATGGACTTTTTTATTTAAATAAATTAATGATAATAATGGAAGTAATAATAAATTCAAATATCAATATGAATCACACAAAGATTTCTCTAATAAACTAAATAAACTTGAATTCCTTATTTCGGCCAACTCGCTTAACAAGAGCTGGTGCCATGGTATGCTTTTTGTATGTCTTATAAGTTATCTCTATTTCCAACAAAGAATGATAGGACTTCAAGGGGAAAAGTTATGCAATTGTTGTTATAGACGATAAGGATATAGGACAAGCAAACAACAATAGTAATTTCTGGTTCTGGTAAATTTTAATTTGACTGAAGAACGTATCTTTCGGCAATCGCCAGTTACACAAATTCAAACGTGGTCATTTTTTAAAAAAATAACGTAATACATTATTTAATAATATATGTTATTTAATAATATTATGTTTTAAAGAAATAGTTTGATAAAATGCAAAATTAAATTATTTTTCACAAAGTTATTAATGATTGACATATAGATATATTATTGCATTATGCAATTCCTAATACCCATTATATAACATGGATTTTCAATGCCGTTTGTTTGCATAGGGTCTGTTGATTATCATTTTTTGGTGTTAAAAAAACAGAGCGTTGTTCAATGCCCCTCAAAAATTCTTGATGTATATAGGATCCTGAATTGTTGTGGTGGTAATAATTTAAAATATAAACAGTAATCTTTAGAATAAAATTCTTTAATTGCTTGAGCATTTTCTCTGACCAAATATTTATATACACCATATTCTATCATTAGATATTAGATAACTTCGTTACCAACACCACGAACTGCTGCTTTCATATACTTTTGGCAACTTTTCCCTCCTTGCATAACCCAACTTCGGCTTCTTTTTGTACTGTATAAACTTTGATTTAGCTATAGATTTTGAACTTAGCATTCACCAGGAAGAAATGGAGCCAGCTTCAGCAATTTTCGCACCATGCGCTCATTTCTATAATACTTCAATTCTTTGTGATCCGTTATCGCTAAAAATTAATATTATTTATTTATTATAATAAGAATATACAATTTTAATTCATATACTAACAGCTAAACCTTTTCGTTATTTATCACCAACATTTTGTTTATAATGCAAATTTTCATAAAAATTTTTTTTGAATTTTATTTACTAATTAAAAACAAGTCATCGTTTTATTTGTTAAAACATTTGATCATTATTTTTTTAGGGTTGATGAACCTATTAAATCAACAAATGATTCACACAAATATATTTTAATGTATAGTAATGCTTTTTTTACTATTATTATTTACTTATAATTGAATCAATTTTATTTTCCAAAAAATATTTTTTATAACAAAAAAGTCTAGCTTATTATATAATTTATTATTTCCAAAAAAAACCCCCAAGAAAAACTACACACACATATATATATATGTAGAGTGTTAAAAATAAATTACTAAAAACATTATTCTTATTTTCAAATTTTACATTCGGTTTCAAAATTCCAGAATTTTGATTTTAAAATTAGAAGATTTCGTAAAAAATTTTAGACAATAAAGACATACAGTAATAAGACATTCTGAGACTTCAATAGAAAATTAGAAAATACGTTGGAATGTCAGGACATTCTTTAATTACTAAAGATCCTACTAAACTAGAGAAATTACTTATTTTTGCACAGAAAGGTATATATGAATAATATTAGTGATTATAGAAAACTTCATCTATTTATTTATGATGTAATATTTGATAAAAATATTAGTATATACATTACATACACTCTTTAAAATTAGTATGGAGAAAAAGGATTTTCCATTTAAAGATGTCTAATGTATATATGGATTAGCATGTATTTAGTGTGACGAAGATCTTTTTATTATATTTTTTAAGATGATTCATTAAACTTTTACAAATTGAGAAAATCTAATAAATATATTTTATTTATATTGATTTAAAGGAGGTATTGGAAAAGGAATTGCTAATCAAGATATTACAGCAAGTGATGAAAATGATTTAATGTTTTTTACCGGTAAAGTATAATTATAAACTACCACCTGATCAATTCATTCATCTATCTACTCCACTTTCATATTATGTATTTATATATTTTTTTTTTCAATTAATAATTTAACAGGTGAAACAATTATAATTTTGAAACATATTAAAGATGATATTTATCTTGTATGTTTAATAATTATTACACTATTATTTCTAAATATCAAATTCTCAATTATCAAAATTATTCATTATCTTTCGAATTTTCTAATATAAAAAATAAATATACATAATAGGGATATTGTGAAGGTGTTATAGGGACATTTCGAGGTGTTACAGTAGATTTTCAAGAACCTTTAATAACCCTAAAATCTTTAAAATTAAAACAACAACAACAACAAAAGGAACAACAACAAAACCATCATCATAATGAAAATTCCAATAAATCAACACCAACTTTAGACTCTTCAAATTTAATTATACAATCACATAGTGGCAATGATAACAGTAATAATAACAATTATAATAGTAACAATGATGGTGATGGTGGTGGTGGTGGTGCTAGTTTTCTTTTACCTTCTGATGCTATTCAAACTCATATAAAACAATCACCCAAAAAAATTCAAAACCCACCAAAGAGATTATCCAGTTTACCAAAAGATTCCATTACCCCCATACCCATCATCACAACCACCCCAAATCCAATTAACAACGGAATTGATAATGAAAAAAATCATGGTAGAATATCACCTGGTTTAAAAATAAACAATTCTTCACCAGTTCCTCCTACTCATAAAGGGCCTGAAATAATCATTAATGCATTATCTGATAAAGATAGTAAGTGTTAATATTTAAGTCTTTTGATAATTTATTTTTTGAGTGATTATTTATTAAATTTATAAATTATTGCAATTAGAAGGGAATATTAGTAGTAATACACAAATTTCATCACCTAACATACCTAAAGAGAGCCATAAATCACACATGAACTTTAATAATGATAATAGTAGCAACAATAATTATAACAACAATGATGTTATTATTAATAACAGCAATAATAGAAAGGTTAACAACAACTATAATAACAACAATAAATATAATAAAAAGGCTATTCCACCAAACCACATTAATACAGCTGAGATAAATCAAACTTATGGACTGAATTCGAGAAATTTAAACAATAATGATAACAGAATGCAAGTATCACCCAGAACCTCACCTGCATCCTCGCCAAAATCAGCACATTCTAAATCAATCAATCAATACTCATATAATGGCCAACATTCACCAAGAAGTGCATCTCCTATCTCACAAAACTCTATAAACAATTATAATAATGTTTCAGAGTATCAAATGAATCAATCAATGAATCCAAACATTATTTCTAATAAAGTAGGTCATTATTCACCATCAACTTCACCATTACCATCACCAGTCTTTCCAAAAGTTATGATAAATGATTCACCTATAGTAAACAGTGTTGATGATGATGATGATGATATAGATGATTATAATATGTATCCTGTTTCCATCACACCTGTAATAACAGTAGTAAAACAAAGTAAAATTCCTGATATGAATGTTCCTAAAATAACTCTTGGTAATGATGTTGATGATTATAATAATTATGGAAATTATGAGAAAGATGGTGAATATGAGCGGGAGGAGAAGAAAGAAGAGGAAGAAGACATTTTAATATCATATGCTAATAATAATAATAACAACAATAATAGTAGTAGTAGTAGTAATAGTAGTAACAATAATGCTAACAAGATTTCATACCAAAATAATAAAAAATCTACAACAATTCCGATTGTTAAAATAGATTATGCACCACAAACACTTCAAACACCTAATGAACCATTAAGTGCTTACGAAAGTGATGTTACCACTGATGACGAGACAGAGTATATAGATAGAAAGGAATTCAATAATTCCGCAAATTCAAATGAATCTAAAAGCATAAAAAAGAAAAAAGATCAAATTCTTGCAATTGATGAATATGGTTTTGTTTATGATGTTTCTGAAGAAGAAATCCCACCAGGAGCTGATCGAATTAAAAGAATGTATGTTTCAAATATATAGAATCTTTTTATTGTAAATAATTATAAATTATAAATTATAAATTATATTCATGTTTTAGAATACAAGCTCCCGGTACGGAGGAAAAAACTACACGAGTTATTCGATTATATCGTGAACGTGAGGCTAAATGGTTGGCTATTCTTGGTACTATGGATCCTAATATGGCAAGAGATTCAAGAAAAGTATGATTTGATTTAATAATAATTATAAATAATTAACGATAATAATAATATCTCAATAAATAATTTAATTAATCTATTAATTGTTAGATTAAAAAATTGGTACGCCTAGGTGTTCCAGAATCTGTTCGTGGAAAATCATGGCAATTTATGGCAGGTGCTGACAAGTATAGAAAGTCAAAATATTATGATGTAAGTTTTTGATTGATTTATTGATGTAATATTTTTTTGAATGTTCTATTAATATATTATATTACAATATTATATGCTTTTTATAGGAACTTCGAAATCGTCCTGAGCTCCCAATATATGATGTGATTGAGAGAGACATAAACAGATGTTATCCTGATCACATTCAATTTCGTAAAGAGACAGGTTCAGGGTAAAAAAATCACAATTATTTAATATATATTTATATATATTTATTTATATATTTGTATTGTATTTATATTATATTTGTATTTATATATTTATATTTATTTATTTTTTTTTTTTACAGACAAGAAGATCTTCATGATATTCTTAGAGCATATGCACACTATAATCCAGATATAGGATATTGTCAGGGGATGGGACGATTGGTTGGAATGATGCTTATGCAAATGCCAGCAGAAGATACATTTTGGCTTCTTGTGGCTACAATTGATGGATATATGAGTGGCTATTATACACCTACTTTAACACAAATACGCATTGATGCTTTTGTATTTGAACAACTTTTAGCTGAGCATGATCCTAAATTATCACAACATTTGGTAATTAAATTTTTGTTGTAGTTTTATATTACATTTATAATATGAAATCTTAATGAATTAATTATATCTTTTGTCATATATATATAGATTGATAATGATATAATTCCATTAATTTATATGACACAATGGTTTATGACATTGTTTACAATGACATTACCGTGGGCATCAGTATTACGAGTTTGGGATATATTTTATTTTGAGGGCACAAACCTATTTTTTAGAGTAGGATTGGCAATATTAGATTGTGTTCGTGATCATATTCTTAAGAGTTGTCCAACAAGTTCAGAAATTTTATCATTTATATTACACATCCCACATGAATTATTAACACCAGATCCACTTTTGGAGGCAACATTTAAAATCAAATTAAAAGGTAGTGTAATTAGAAGATTGGCTAAAAAAGCAGCGATGATTGAATCAGGAAAAGAAAACAACAACAATAACAGCGAGTCTGCAGATAAAAGCAGCAGTAATAATAATACTAGTGCTAGTAAAAAATTAAAACAATCTAAAAGTTCAGAAAATGTAAAAGTTAACGGTGTAGAATTTAAATTAGTTGGTGAATAACTACCATTTCTTCATTTTATTATTGACATCATCTTTATTTATACCATTTTAATTAATGTATATTATTTAAAGACATTTTTTTCTTCAAAGACATTAGATTTTAATCAATGTGTAAAAAAATCATTTTTTTTGTATAGACATTATAGACATTCAATTTTTCACTTTTTATATCATTTTTTCTTTTTTTATTTATACATTTTTATAGATTTTATTACATTTTTTATATAATTATCATTATAGACAATTATACATTTTTTTATTTGTATATACAAGAAATTTCAAATTTAATAAGTGATATAAAGTTTGAAGTAATCATTCCTTTACTCGTTATTTGGTAATAACGCACAATAATTGTCGTCATCAAGTTTGATGCTTTTATTTTTTTCAATAAGGTCAAAGTAAAGAATAAATTCTTTTTACCAATCACGGGTAAAAAAATTTTATATGCATTTACATCATTATTCTTTTATATATATATATATATATATACACAATAATGTTAACCTGAAATTATTGTTGAAATCATCTACGTATCAATAATATATATCATTGCGCATTAAAAAACACCTTTCTGACTTAAAAAGATTATGAACGAAATGCCGAAAAGAAAAATTGTTTTACATGAAGGAATTAGCTAGCCATGACTTTACGAGAAGAAAATTAGCAACTTCTCTCTGATTAAAGATTTTGTCTATTTTTTCAACATTTTTAAAGCAAATGACCGGAAGTTTCCCTTTTTCAATAAGTTTTTTGTTATGAACAAACTCTGGGTTTTCATGAATATGTCGATTAAAATCAATTAAATCAATTTTGTTTTTTAACTGGGCTAGTTATTGGTTGTACTCCTCCCCAGTCAGTAAATTAAACTAAGAAAAGTCCTTGATTCCTAGAGGCAATTTGTCCACTATTATATCACTTGGAGATTTGTATTTGGTTCATTGGCTTTTCTTTTTTGCTTTCAATATTTCTTCAATTTTAGCCACTCATGCAGAGCAAACCTTTTTGCCAGAATTGTGCTTGACTTAAGCTTAAGGCTGCTTTCCAAAACTTCTTAGCGACTGCAAAAACTTTGCCAATTAGTGTGTGCCTCGCCAATTGCCAAACCCCCCAAATGCCAAAAAAATTAACGCGTAACTCTGCTGACTGATTCCTGGAGGAGTTTTGGCAAACAACTAGAGTTTGACTATTGTTAATTTGCCTTCTAGCTCAATTTTTCACTCACTAGCATGCTTGCTTGATATCCTCCACCATGGCTCAACTAATATCTTTATAGTCATCCTTATTAAGAATATGTTCTGAATCTATAGAAACCAACTTTCAGCTTGTTATCAACCAAATTATAAGATTTGGTAACAAATCTTTGAAGGATTTGTTATTTGATTTTTTACTTAAAAGTAGGTGGACTGGTAATGTTTTTATAATGTTCCAACATAAGGTGGGATTATGTTGTTTATTTACCTCGTTTCAATGGTAATCAGGAAAATTTTATCTAAAGCACGCTTGAGTGAGTAGAGATCATACATTTTTATATGATGCAATATGACAATTAAAGGCCTGCGGTGGGGCCCAACTTGTGTTGTTGATACTTGTACTCATTTACAGTGCAAAACATTGATTGTATCATACAATAATGTTTTTTGTAAATAATTATTTATTAGTCAATATTACAATTCAAGTGGTGAAGATGAAAATAATACAGATGAGATTGGTCAGTATTCATTATTGAAAATACAAAAGGATATGGATTTGGTTATATATATTACAATGGTGTAAATATCATCAACTCCAATATCCAAAGCCTGCAATATTAAGTGCTAATTATCTTTCAGTCCCATCTTCTAAGAGAGGGAATTTAGTGCAGCAGGATTAACCATCAATCAGCTTTGAATCTACAAAACAGTTGACAGTGTATTTGTGTTGTGAGGTGCATCTTAATAAATGTTATTTTATTTATAAGTAATGAAAAAAATAAACTTTTTTTGATCTTTTATAAACCGGGCTGGTATGGGTCCGGGTTTAGAAATTATGATTTGATGCGGGTCTGGGTTGAGCACGGGTTTAATTATAATGGTAATCATTAACATAGAAGAATAATCCACTATCACAAATTTCTCCTAAATAAATTATGTTATGAAATAATGGAAGGTCAGAATTAAATTAGTAATAGTGATTTTATGGATCAATAAACAAATAGGAAATGATTTACAAAAGTTGCACGAAAAAGGAACGGGAAAAAACACGGAAATATTTTATTATTATTTATTATTATTATTTATTATTATTATTTATTATTATTATTTATTATTATTTATTATTTATTAATAATGATAATACTTCAAGAATTCAAACCAGCCATATTTGTTAGCGTTGCTCAATCAATGTAGTAAACCAATAAAATAATTAACTCGCGGAAATTATCGAGGAAGATTATTCTAATACTAACATTCTAAATTGTAATTCCCAAATTCTATTCAAACGAAGGAATTTAAACCCTAAAAATAACTTGAGAATGATTTTACACGGAAGATTCAAATTATGTTTAAGGAATAAATTTAATTAGAACGAATTGAGAATTCTCGGGAAATCAAAGAGCTTATTGGACCATTAAATAACGTTGTAACTTTCTTGACTTTATGTATCATTATCATCATCATCATCATCATCATTATAAAAAATCCTTAACAATAATTATTTAATAAATAACGAACTGTTCTTATCCTTGTCCTTGTTGTTGTCTTTGAAATTTTATATTTTCGTAATGATAATAAATCCATCTCCAATGAATTCATACTAATCCGTGCATAAATTAATTTTCTCTTGTTTTATATTTATATTTTCTTTTAATAGGTAATATTTTATTTAGCGAAGTACCTGACTTCAATAAGGGAGTAACAGCGTGAAGGGTACTCTCAAGAAACGTTATCAGAACATAGTGCGGAATCTAAAGAAGATATTGTTTAGTATTTGCTTAACAAGGAACTGTTTAACGATAAAGAAGGATGGTTTTGATAGTTGTTACGATTTAGTATAAATAATTGTATTATTGTATTAGTATTGACTTTAAATATATTATCATCACCGAGACTCGGACACGATCTTGCAATATAAAAATTAGATCACAAAATTTTAAACCCTGAAATACAAATGTTCACTTTGTCCGATTTTTTGCAGTATGCCCCATATAAAGATCATCCCCACGAAATTTCCTATAATATTTGATTAAATATCATGGAAATGCAGATTGTTCCCTAACATAAAAAAGGAAATTGTGGAAATTGACAATAAATATTAATATTAAACTGAGTCACAAATGATGATAATAATTTAGTGTGAATAATTTCCGCGAATATATTAATATATTTATGTCTCACTTTCGAAACTATACAATTCTCTATCTAGATTTCATTTTACGTCCATCTAGAGCCACTCACTAGTTAAAAAATTCTCTCATTAGATTTCACTCTATGTTGTCCGTCTAAAATCATTCCTTAATATCTTGCTAAAAAAAAAAAGAATAGTGAAAAATATAAAGTAACGGAAAATAATTATGCATGTGATTAATATGAAGGCTAGTCCTTTTTATTACTTCATCGTTGAGGATAGGTTTATTGTCATGATAAAATTACAAATCAAGAATCAAGGACAGTTTTTTATTATTCACTCTTTTAAACAGAATTTAGAATGAGATAATGAATTCATTGATTCATTATTATTATGTTGTTTGAGTAACACTTAATTAACCGGTTTGAATTCGTGAAATGTATTTCCGTCAGAAAGACCAAAAAAACTTTTTTTCTCGAGTTTTTTTTTTATAGACAGCATAAAAACAATGTACATAAGTATAAATAGAGGCAAACTCCAACCTCAAGAATAGTTGTGGAGTCGATGAAGAAGAATTGTTCATTATTTAAGAGAAATTTTATTAAATCATCAAATGACATCTGCTTAAATATTTTAAAAAAAATTTTTTTTACTTAATCGGGGTGCTTCTCTTTTTCTTTAAAAAGAAATGAGGGGCCTCGCGGAAATTGTGTACGACATCAAATTGCTTTAACCGGATACTTTTAATATTACGGGAGGAAAAGTTGTGTATTTTTCTGTGTAATTTTCTTTTTTCCATTATTTCCGATTTTCATCACGTGTAACTTGTTCCCGTGATTTATAAATCAATACTCACCACAATTATTTGCTGAATATGGATAGAACGTATCAATTGATAAAAATGGAAAATTATCAATACTGTTAATTGACAAAAATGAAAAAGATAAAAAATATTAATATTGTTGTTTAAATATTCAGATTATTTGTTGTTGAATGCTTGGTTTATTTTCCTTGATATTGAATGTTTTAGTTTTATTAAAGACAATTAATAAAATAAATGTAAAAATAAAATTTTTTGAGACTCGATTTTCTTATCATACATAAAGTTTGATTTAAAAAATGATACACGAAACAAATTGATGAAATATAATTAAATTTCTTTAAAAAAAATCAACATTTTGAACCATTTTACAACTTTCACTAGGTTAAATTTAGCAGAATTAAAAAATAATAATTATAAAATGTTTATTTTGATGAAATTCTTCCCGAACTTGCAATTTCTAGACATCAATTTTTTAATGATAATGGTTCTTGCTTCTTTGCTATCTAAATAATATAAAAACACTGGAATTTCTATTCGAATTATATTGAAAGTTTATTAAAACGAATAATTCGAATAATAATTCGAATAAAAGAACAATACGAATGATTCGAATAAAAGAACAATACGAATGATTCGAATAAAAGAATAAACGAATGATTTTGAATAATTACGAATAAATATTTTAGTTCTATTGCAAATGGAAGTTGTTTATTCATTCCAGCCCCATTGTTTTATATGAATATGAAGATGAAAAGCTTAATAAATTCTATCATATGTTTCGATAATAATAACGTCATAATTTTATTGCCATTGTATCTTAGGCTTATCGAGCTTCTGAAAAATTGGCGCTGTGCAC